TAATTGATATACAAAATTATATTAGTATTAGACATTTGTATATAATACACTGCAAAATGATCGTTATAGTAAGCCTAGTTACCATCTGTCACCGTGCAAACATAATACAATATTATTGACTACATTCCCCAGGCTGAACTATATACCCCCATGATTTATTTATTTTATAACTGGACGTTTGTGCTTCTCCATCTCCTTCATCCATTTTGTCTCTCCTCCATCCTCTCCTGTCTAGTGAAATAATGGTCTCAAACGTCTTTAAAAGGTTGCTTCGCTTTCTGTAGGTTTAGTGTTTTATGAAGTTGGTTTGCATTTCTCCCTTTTTTTCTAAATGGCATTTCACTAGTGTATATATCTAGATATCGATCCTTCTAATATATGTCTGATATTTGACTAAAGATTAAAGTCTTCTATCTGCTCAGAAAAAGTCTATTAACTTTTAATTATTGCTTCTGAATTATCCCTTCTGTTTTCCCCCTGGGCATCTTATTTTAAATAGATAGTAACTTCTAGGGTTGTCCTTTTTTTTCTCATCTTTTCTCCTGTCTTGTCTCTCTGTCCTTCCCCACTGAGCACCCAGTATGTCCCTCTCATTGGAACTGACTTCACCAATTTCTTCAGCATCCATAGGCTTGTCCCTATTTACAACTCAGGCAAACTGTCTAGGTTACTTTGTTTCACTCCCATAGCTGTGGGTGGAATTTAACCAGTGCAAAATTCTCATAAATTTTATTGAGGTCATCATTCAGATATTACCTCATTTTCCCCCTCCTATTTTTTATAGCACATCTCTTTTACAGAGAAACTTTCTGTTTACTCATAGCTGCTTTCTTTTTAAAAAAGAAAAAAGAAAAAAAATATGTATATATATATAATTTATTTACTTCGGCTGCGCTGCGTCTTTGTTGCTGCATGTCGGCTTTCTCTTACTTTGGGGACTCCTCTTGCCGAGCACAGGTTGTGGGTCTGCAAGCTTCAATTGTTGTGGTGCACAGACTTAGCTGCCTGGAGGAAAGTGGCATCTTTCTGGACCAGGGATCCAATCTGTGTCCCCTGCCTTGGCAGGTGAATTCTTAACCACTGGACTGCCAGGGAAGCCCCACCTTTGTGGGACCTGATCCGGGGCTGTGTGTGTGGTGTTGACACGTGGGTGTGTATCCATGCTACTTGAGTGTGCTCACAGAGCGCCCCCTAGCCTCTGCTTGGAGCTCTGCTGGGTATAGGGTCATTTCTCTGGAACTGCAAGTTGGGCAAAATTTGTGCTGCTGTGGCCTTCACCTTGATGCCCAGCAGGAGGGCATGGACTTGGGGTCAAGGCTGCAGAGAAGAAAAGCGATTTCTGTGGGTCCTGGCTCAAGTCTCAGAGAAGAGTCACATCTACACTTGTTCAGACCGAGGGTGAGCTGGCTTGGGGAGGGCTATAGAAAGATTGTGCATGTAGAGATGGGTACACCTGGCTGGGATCCAGGGTCTGCCACTGCCTAGCTCCATGAACTTAGAAAACTGACCGTTGTTACACAGGGCTCTTCTGAGGAGGAAATGAAGCCAGGTGTGCAAGAGAGAACTGACAAGGGGTTTGGAGTCAGAAGACCAGGATGCTCTGTGGAAAATCTAAAAAGAAATGATACAAATGAACTTATCTACAAAACAGACTCACAGATTTAGAGAATGAGTTTATGGTTGCCAGGGGTAAGGTTGGGGGGGAGGGAGAGATAATTAGGGAGTTTGAGATGGTCATGTACACACTGGTATATTTTCAATGGATAACCAGTGAGGATCTACTGTATAGAACAGGGAACTCTGCTCAATATTATGCAGCAGCCTGAATGGGAGGGGAGTTTGGGGGAGAATGGATACATGCATATGTATGGCTGAGTCCCTTCACTGTTCCCCTGAAACTATCACAACATTGTTAATTGGCTATAGTCCAATACAAAATTAAAAGTTAAAAAAAAAAGACCAGGATGCTAGTGATGGCTCAGTCATCTTCCAACTTCCCACCCTTGGCCTCAGTTTTTCTACCAATAAAATGGGAGAATAATATTTTAATACTAGAGAACTTACAATGCAGTAATGATTAAAACTTTAAGAAAATCGTGTATGAATGATCTTTGTAAACTGCATAATGCTACAAAATGTTTGCTGTTGTGTCACACAGATGAAACCACGTTTTCAGAGGCTCTGTCCCTCTGTCTGGCCCACAGTAGGGATTGGGTGATTGAGTTGGCTTTCAATCAAGCTCAGCCCCAAAGCAGTAAGCAGCACTTAGCCCTGAGGGACCTTGTTCCAGCTGACAGATTAGGATGATTTCAAGTAGCAAAGGTACTGTTTTATGTGCCATCTCTCTCAGTATTGATTTGTTTATCAAAAATCTTATTTATAAGGAGCACAAAAATAAACCAAACTCTGCAGGATGTATCAGAGGTTCTGAATTAATGAGGTCCAAATTTATGAGGGTTCGGAATTGCTACTTCCATTTCTTACTCTTCTGTTGTTGGGAGGGGCAGTGGGGGGGCAGTAACTTGTTACAGGACAAGGGCCCCCCTTTCCTTGGGGCTTGTACCCCTCCACACTCCCTCGTCCTTCTCTCCTTCATCCCTCAATGAAGTTGCATTTTTCCGGGATGAGAGTTGGGCTTCTGGAGTCGTGACATGGCTTGGGATATGGGCAGAAGCCTCTTAGTTCAGCTCTAATAATTCTTTTCTATAAAATTCTGGGTTGTGACTACAGTCTTTTACAGCCAGAAAGTTCCTCATGGAAAGCTGTGTGCCCCAAAGAAGGAGGTATTTATTCCAGAGTGGAGGATGTTATGGGATACAGTGGTAAAATTCTTTTATATTCCTGATACACTTGGAATATGGATCTCAGAGTTTGGACCTTGGACTCAGCAGCAGCCGTATCATCAGGGTGACGGGATAGAAATGCAAGCTCTTGAGGCCCATCCCAGATCAACTGACTCAGAAATTCTGGGGATGGGGCCCGGCAGGCTTTAATCTGCCCTTCTGTGTTTTTCTGATGCACACTCAGGGTTGAGACCCTCTGATCTGGGAGAAGGAAGAAACTGGTCCAGCCAGACTCCACTCTTCAGAGGAAGGATGCTGGAGTCCAGGACCTAAATAGAGGGTGGGGCAAGGCACCCATGAGGACTCCAGCAAGCGCTCATTGCCGCCCCCTCCCCCATGAGCAAGCTGAACTTCGGTTGTTTATGCATTTACTCTAGGGCAGTGCTTCTTCTTCCCTGTGTGAAAATGTTAGTCACTCAGTCGTGTCCAACTCTTTGCAACCCCATGGACTATAGCCCGCCAGGCTCCTCCGTCTGTGAAATTCTCCAGGCCAGAATACTGGAGTGGGTTTCCATTCCCTTCTCCAGGGGATCTTCCAACCCAGGGATCAAACTGGGGCCTCCCAGATTGCAGACAGATTCTTTATTATATGAGCCACCATGTGAACCACTTGGAGACCTCCTTTAAAAAAAACAAAAAACAAAACACCTCCTGATCAACTGAATCAGAATCCCTGGAGCAGTGTAAGGACATCTGTATTTTTAAAAGCTTCTGGATGAATCCAACATACACCCATTTTTTGATACCTAATGCAGAGGATGCATTGCTCAGAAAAAATGTGATTTAGGTTATCTACATTTATTGTACATTTTTCCATTGGAAATGTATTTCACCTATTTATATTATAATGACATGCTCATTATAGGAAAAAACTTGGAAAATGCAGAAAAGCTGAAAGGAGAGAAGAAATAAAACTCATGTTCCAACTATCTAAAGGTGGTAGTCGGCATCAGTGTGTTTTCTTTCAATCTTGTTTTTTTGTTGCTGTTTTAAACTACACTGGTTTGCATTTTTTACAGAATTGTGGTCATACTTACTATAGTATTTTCTTCCACTTTTTTACTTAACTTTACATCTTAGGTAGTCTTCTCAGTTTTTAATTGTTAAGTACAGTTTTTAACATGCTCTTGTGGCAACATGACATATTTGTGGCTTTCTCCACTTTCACGTGTATATACTTCAAGATGGCATTTAGAGAGGTCTTTCTTTCTTTACAATGCCTGTACTTCAGGGGTACTGTGGAATCCTACATCAAATGTCAGAAGAACAGTAACTGTTTTTCTCTTTGCATGTCTTCTCCCAGGGTCTAAGACTTTTCTTCACCCCAACCCCACAGGTAGATGGAGAGAGGAGGCTGACGAGAGATAAAATCTTACTGCAGAAAGTTGAAAGAGAAAAGCACATAAATATTTTCCCAGTGTTTCAGAGCCACCACCCTACTTGTCAGCCTCGGTGACGTTGGATTTCTCCTAAGCCACAAGGCTATATAGATCATAGGATGAGGTATGATTCATAAACATACACACACACAGAGCATTTCAATCAAAACCACATTTCTATGCTTCAGGAAGAAAGAAACCAAATGAATAAGACAAGAAAAAGAAAGAAGGAAGCTGGGACAAAGCAAAGGATGGTAGGACAAGTTCAGTTCAGACTGAAGCGCTGATGTGCTCAGTCAGAAATGCCAAGGTCAAGCCCTTTCCCCCACCTCTGCTTTCAACATAAGCTTCCTGGAACTTTCTTCTTTGTTGCAGTTATATGTGCGTGTATGTGTGAGTGTGTATATATATGTGTGTGTGTGTGTGTGTGTGTGTGTGTATATATATATATACACACACAATGTATATGTGTATATATATATATATACACACACAATATATATGTGTATATATTTAAAATTTTAATATATAGAGTATGTAATATATATTATATATGGCATACTTCATATATACTTTATATATTTATAATATATATTATATATAAATTTATAAAATAATATAATATAAATATATATATCTTCCTTGATTGCTTCTACTTTCTGACTTAGCTGCTGATTTCAAATTAAGTTCACCACCATTGTTGAGTGAACCGGAATAGCAGCGTTTGTCTTGTTGGTGTCATGGATGCGCCAGGTAATTCTGCCCCGTCTTCTTGCAGGACATTATGGGAAGGATGCTTACCGAAGTGGAGGACCTGATCTCCATAACTTCATCTCATCTGGATTTGTCACATTAGGAAGAGGACACACGAAGGGTACAGTGGAAACCATTTTTTACTAAAATACAGAGGTTGCCTAGGGAACCCCGATCTGAAAGGCGAAGATGGTGTGGAGGCCAGAGGCTGGCCCGGGACAGGATAAGTGGGGTGGTTCCATGGCTGCTTACCCTGATGACATGCGTGGCTTCACAGGTGTGACTTTAGAAGGCAATAATAGACTCCCAAGAGGCATGCGTCCTGCCCCGCCCATGGCATGGAGCAGGACACAGATGCCCGTGGCTCCCCGTGGGAGGGGACCACAGGCAGGAAACACTGCTGACGATGCAAAGTGTTCCTTCCCCTCTTGGCTATTATTCCTCTTCCGTTTGAAAGCCACATTTAGTACATCGATGTCAATGTTCTGTCCTGGGGGGTGTTGAAGCCGGCATGCATGTCGAGAGTTTCAGCGTCCTAAGTGTGTCTATGTAAACTCTCCGTGATGGGGACACGAAGGTAGAGGTTACACAGACTTTCCAGCCGCAAGCTGAACCCTAACGTGGCGTTTCTGCTGAGCTGCTTTATGATCTAGCCGACAGCTTGCAGAGCTTCTGTGCAGGGGGTGTGGCATCCTCGATCCTGTCTTTTGTTTCAACAGAGTTCTACTAGGCTTGTGAGCATCCTGTCACACCAAGAGTAACTGGATCCCCAGCCCTTTGATTACCTTCCTAACACCTGTGTACTGTGATAGACAACTGTGAATTCTGTTGTAGGGATGGTGTATCCCTGTCTTCCTCTGAAATATGTGTTTGTTCCAAGTGTGAGTGAACAAGGAACTTTGCGATTTTTTTTCTTACATTCCGTGCACCCAATTTTTAAATTCCCTCTGTGATGTTTGTTCATCCTATAGAGAAAAAAAAAATCTGTATCTGTGTATGTATTTTCTGTTGTGTCTCTTTGTGTCTAAATAAAGTTTATTGAGGATTCAGGTGGCATTTGTGGCTACTGAGAGTTGCAGAATCAAATTGGGACCAGATGACTTGGGAAGGGGTTTTCCGGTAAAAGACACAACCCTTGACATCCTAGACACATTCATATCAACTCAAGGCTGGGATGTGCGACCTCCGTGTCATCTTCTTTGGGATAAATACCCATCACTCTGCAAGAAATTAGAAGGGAGCATTTTCCACCCATAATAAACATTTCTTATCTCACATAGTTTCTGCGGGTCAGGAATTGGGGATCAGCTCAATTGGGTGCTTCTGGCTTGGGGTGTTTCATGAGGTTACATTCATACCTGCTTCCAAAGATGCTGCTCAAGGCCCACGCATCCTGCCTCATGAGGATGGAGGGGCTGAGGTGGCGTGTGGGTGGTGGGTCAATGAGACCCACATGTTGTGAGCACTTGGTGAACGATGGCTCTTTCATAGAAGACACATGTTGCAATAGAGGAAGCCATAAAAAGAAGATGGGTCAAAGACTGACACCACACTGTAAGTCAATTAAAATGGTAATATATATAAAGTATATATACATATATATGGCATGCCTCATATATACTTTTAATTTTTTTTTAAAAAAGAAGACAAATCAGGAGTTGGAGCATTTACTCTAGATGAGTAGGGTCTATCCTTCCAGAGACGAAGCTCAGCCTCCTTAGATAATTTTTCAAAGTCTGTCTCGATGAACACAGCTATGGAGACCCTCTGCTATTTGGGCGGTTTGGTTAAAGATCTCAAACAGGGCGGCTCTTTTTGAGTCTGCAGGAGAGAGCCCCACGTGACCATCCTGTATTACTATGACCTCCACCAGGGCAGCCCAGGCCACAGCAGGCCTAGAGCCCTTCTGCATGGTGGTGACCGCGGTGCACCTGTGCTAACCCGCAGTGTCCTCGGGCCTTTCCAGCCGTGTGTGTGTGTGTGTGTGTGTGTGTGTGTGTGTGAGAGAGAGAGAGAGAGAAAGATGGGCAGATGGATTCCATGCGGACAGACAGGAGCCTCAAAGTGAGTCCCCTTTGGAGGAGGCAGGCACTGCTGCCCAGGTTGGCACATAAGCTGAGTGCCTGCTGCATGCCAGACACTCCTCTAGGCCTGAGGATGTGGCCAATAGACTTACATGCCAGAGAGAGCTGACCGACATAAAGGAGTACATCTACAAAGCATGTCAGGGACTTAAAAGCTATGGGGCAAAATGAGGCAGGGAATGCAGGAGGAGCTGCAGCTGTTGAAAAGAACATCCAGATGCTCGAGAATAAAAGTGGCATTTGAGCAAAGACTGAAGGAGGTGAAAGGTCAAGTCCTCTGGAATTTGGGGGGAGGGTCTCCCAGGTGGAGGGAACAGCTGCCCACTGCCCCCACCTTACCAGCTGGCACAGGGACAACTGTGAGGCTGGAGCAGATGGGGCCGGGCTGTGGGCAGGAGGGGGTAAAGTCAGAGTGGGGCTGGACCACTCGGGGCCTGGGGACCACTTGGGAATCTGGTTGCCACTCCAGGTGGAATGAAAAACGTAACACTTGTGACCTGAGGCATTAGGAAAACGATCTCAGTGGGAGGACTGGGGTCTTGGCAGAGGCTGGGGCTGATGTGAATTCAGTCTGGCTTCATATTAAGTTTTAGAGGCTTCTTAATCAACCATGTGGACAAGTTCAGGGGAGATGTCCTGGCTGGGGATGTAACTATGGGAGTTTCTGGTACAGGAAGCCGGACGCTGGGTGACATGGGTTCCCCAGGGTGAGTGAGGCTTCCCAGGGGAACAGAGGCTCCAGGAGAGAGATGAGGGTGGGGAGGTGAGGAGGGACCTGCAGAGGAGACCAATCAGGAGTGGGCAGCCAGGAAGCAAGAAAAGCAGGGCTGGGTGGTGTCTTGAAAATCAAGTGGGAAAAAAAAATTCCATGTTTCTGGGAGAGAGTCATCAGCTGTGATAAGGTGTGAGAGGTCAGAGGAGATGAAGCCTGAGAAGTGACCACAGTGTGACCCACAATGTGGAGGTCACTGTGAGCTTGGCAGGGGCGATTTGGGGAAGCCCTTCCGACTGGTGGATGCAAAAGAGAATGAGTGATGCCTACGTTGTGCTGCTATAGGATCTGAACAGACTGAGCAATGGGAAGATGAGGGTTCATTACGCTCATCTCACTATTCGGGGAGATGTTTGAAATGTTCCCTAATAAAAGTTAAAAAGGATTGTGAAAATAATCTTTTATTATTTAAAAAAGGGTGAAGAGGAAAAGGAGACTGCAGGTACAGACAACCCTCCAGAGTTCTAAAGTGAAGGGGAGTGGAGAATGAGGGAGGAAGCTAGAAAGGAGTGTGATGTAAAGAGTCTTCTTTTTCTTGATATGGGAAATCACAGTACATGTGATATTCATATGCTGATAGGAATGGTCCAGTAATGAAGGGCAAATCGATTATGCCGGAGTGGGAGGGATGTATTTCAGAAGTGACATCTTTAATAGGCGAGAACAAGTGGCATCTGTCACCCAGCAGAGGAGGGGCTGGCCTTGTCTAGGAGCAAAATCCGCCCAGAGTCTCAGATTTCAGGTGGGGTGTTCAGTCACAGATGCATGCAGGTGGGCATATATGATCCCTGCTCAGTGATTCAGGAAGCAGGGTCATCCAGTGTATTAGGGTGACCAGACAGCCCAGTTTGCCCAGAGCTGTTCCAGTTTTAGCTCAGAAAGGTCTGTGTCCTAAGAAACCCCTCTGTCCAGGGCAGATGAGGTCAGTTTGACATCCTTTGTGAGGACATGTGAGCAGGCACAGCCTGTCTGGTTTCAGAGCATCTTCCACACCCAGCTCTAGAGCTCAGAGAAGTGGGATGAGGATGCTGCTGCCTGGCGCTGGTACCCACACAGCCTCAGAGGCCTTGGGATCCCCCTCAATAAGATGGAGACAAGGCCAGAGCCCTGTGGGGAGCATCCCAGACCCATGGAAAGACCCTGGATGGATTGCTTCATTCTGTCCAGATGGCATTCCCTGGGACTAGGCTGGGAGTGGCCATTCCTGCCGCCCAGCACACTCTCCATGGGGTCTGAAGCAGAGAATAAGGCGAGGTGTGTAAATGCTATGGGGGTGGGGGGTGTTGGAGCTGGTGCTGAGATCAGAGCTGGAGACGTGACCAGCCTGATGCCAGTTTTGGGGGGCTCAGCAAGGAGGGCAGTGGTAGAGGTGGTGCCTCAACTGCTCAACCCCCAAATCCAGGGAGGAAGAGGAGCAACAGTGGCCAGGGGCAGGGGCTCGGGGGGAATTCTAGAGGCTGGGCCAGTGGTACCTGCTCACCAAGAAGAGAACAAGGCCAGATATGGGTTCTAACACTCACAAAGGCACAGGTGTCAGCCAGTGAGGAGTCTGGGTAAAAGGTCTACCAGGGACAAAACATCAGGGCAAGGAAGCAAGGGCTAGAGCCTTTTGATCAGTGTCATGGGTGGAGGCAGGGCACAGGAGGCGTGAGCTTCTGCCAATGACAAGGCCTGAGGGGTAACGGTGGGAGTGGGTGACTGCATGAAGCAGCAGGTCGACTGCAAGAGTCCTGCTTCAGCTCTCTGGTTCTGGGTGGGCTTTGTGGTCCTCCACCCCCAGCACTGTTCTGCTGGGTTGTCTGCCCCCAGCCCTGGTCTGAGCCCCGCTGCTGGCCTGAACCCCAGGCACACCTGGGCCCACGCTCACCCCCCCACCAGTCCATTTGGGTGCTGCCATGGTCGCCTGTAACACAAGGTTTGAAGTTAGATCTGCTCTTCTAGAAATGACAGAACAGGTGCATAGGCCTCTGCCGAACCAGAGACCACCACCCCCAAACCAGGATCTGACCACCCTGTGGATTGTGGCCAGGAGACCTCTGTGCCATTTGGCTCCAGAAATCAGCTTAGATATTTCCACACTCTGGGGACCCGGGGGAGCAAGTGGGCTTGACTACACCAAGGTGTCTGAGGGCTGGACTCCAAGCGCTCAGAAGGCGTCCGGTCGCCATGGAAACAGTGAGCTGGGAACTATAGTGAGAGAGAGAGAATGAAGGTGGGCCCAGCTTGCACGGAGATTGGCCTCTGAGAAGCCAGCACAACCTGGGA